TTTTCTCACTGACTGTTTATAATCTAAGCATACGTTTTCTTTATTTTTTTTCNGTGATATAATTATCACGTTCCTGTTGTATACGTATGATTTCTTGATTTACATTCTAAATAACACTTTAATATATTGTTACGTCCGGTGGACTCCACGATTTCTTCGTTTTGTGAACACGCGATAAAGTAAATTCTTAAATATAGTAACGATTATCAATCGACAAAATACCTCGACCCAACGAAATTGACCGTTGTCGGTTTCCTTGGGAAGAATTCGCTTTTAGCAAATAGTATAGAACCGAATGTGAGAGATCTTTATTATCAAAAACAAATAAGGTATCTCACAGTACACAATTTACCCGCGACGAAAAACCTAAGTTCGGAACGTACTTTTAAAAGAAAAAGGCTAACAGATAAACTGACAACAAGTATGTTTGGGCTAGATTCATGACAAAACCGAAAGGAAACTCCAAATTCTATAGAATAAAATAATTGTGACGATACGCCCCCGCCTTGTATACCCCCGCCGAAGCCCATCGGCGGGGGTATATAAGCCGCCGCCGCGGAGCGACGGCTACCAATCCGGTCCCGAACCCACTCCTGTCGAGACCGTTCCTCCTGCGAAGAGAATCAGGGCGCCTGATTTCTTCACGTTCCTTGCGAAGAGAGTCAGGGCGCCTGACTTCCTCGCGTTCCTTGCGAAGAGAGTCAGGGCGCCTGACTTCTTCACGTTCCTTGCGAGGAGAGCCAGGGCGCCTGGCTTCCTTGCGTCCCTTACGAAGAAGGTCAGGACGCCTGACTTCTTCACATCTTCTGCATTCAGCGAAGAGAGCCAGGGCGCCTGGCTTCTTCGCCTTCCGTCCGATCAGGGCACCCCGTTGGCACCAACACCGTGCGCACAGAGACGGCCAGGGCGCCTGGCTTCTCCTCTCTGTCGGGCCAGAGCGCCTGGCCGACATAGACCAGCTACCGATCCCGCTGCGCCTAAGTGCCACACGGCAATCGACCATCGAGGACATCCGCGCCCGCTCCACCGTTACCGACCGACCCGCTCGGAGCGCCGGATCTACCGCTGACTGGTCCCGCCGACTTACCGACCGTCTCTCTGATCCTCGGTAAAGTAACGCTAACACGCGTTGGTCGTCTCATGCTTTCTT